AAGGCCTGAGGAAAAAAAAAGAGGAAGAGACGAAGGGTCAGCCAGTATTTATAACCAGGGGAGAGAGACCCCTGGTGAAGGGTTAAGGTACTAAAGGAGGAGTTAACTCCAACAACGCGAATCACGTTCGCGGCCATATATTTTTGTCGAGAGATAAAATTCGTAACAAGAACTAACTACACTTTTTGAAAAAAAAAAAAAAAACGAATACAGAGAACTGTTGCACAGCATGCCACAAGTTCCCCAAAACAATCCCCTTGGAGTTTTGAATTTAGAGCTGACCTCCTTCTCGTCTAGTAGCTACCCAAGGCTATAGAGCCCCGTCTGTCCTGTTATTTTAGCCATAACTGGGGAGGTGGGGAGAAGAGATAGATTCATACCTTTCCCAAGGGTATTAGCACATAAATGAATGTAATGAAATCAAACAGAATTTGAAATTGGCTCTCCGATTCCTCAAGTAATCCACACCATGTGTCACTACTGTTTTAAGGATTAATTACAGATTCCTGAAAAGATCCCATTACAATACGTGATTGGTTCGATCAGGTTTCTTTATTCATGACTGACTCAGCAGAAGATTTACTGCAGTAGGTCACCATTTAATTTCTGTGGTAGACTGGTTGCCAACAAAGGCTATAGGGCCCATCCTGTTCTGCTGTTCAACCCATAGCTGGGGAGAAGAGATGGATGCATACCTTTCCCAAGGCTGTTTGTGCCTAAGTGAATATAATGAACTTAACTGGAATTCCAATTTCTCATTCAGAGCCATTATGCGTTACACCACCCACACGTCCCACATTATAAGTTTCTAGAAAATTTAATAATATAGGTTTTAACTATGTCGAATCCTGTAGTGAACAAAACAAGATCTAGATTTAAAAATTCAAATGCTAAGCAATTGCGTGTGTGTTAAGCAAAGTTTGTAAATTTGAGTCTTTTTAATCTCTAACAAAATCAAAGAGTCAGTGCTTAGCATTTGAATTTTTTAAATCTAGATCTTGTTTTGTTCACTACAATCCTACCTAGGATTGAAATCACCATCCTTGGCTAACAAATGAGACTCTTACTCCTCAGATTAATGGATGTGTTTTAAGCTGTGGCAGTAGCTTATTTCCCTTCCTGTCAAAGTGGATTTAATCCAAATTTTTTTGTCAAATGAGGCTCTCAAATTCTGTTGAAGCTCAATAGAAAAGATAAATTGGCTAGTTAAGCAATGGAAGCAATTTGAAAGGATTGTTTTTCTAAAATCTCCTCCAGAAGCCAAAGTTCCTGAATGTTATATACGGAAGTTAAATAAATACCTGTCTATATTTCTGAGATGAGGTATTATGTACACTATTTACATTATTTGGACTATTGTCCTCATCCCAACGACTCATGGCATAGTAGATAAAAGAGTTAGTTAGATCCAGTGACAGGACCCAAAGAGTGTGAGTGCAATACCCGGTTAAGGCAGTGGAGAACTTGGAGAGGGGAATTAACAGGAGATAACTGATAACTGACATCCATTAAACATGGCACGTGGAACAACAGTCCACCCCAGTGAGCGAAAATAAAGGGTTCAGTTCGACATTCAAACCACCTGAAGAAGGCCAGAGCATACGACCAAAATGTAATAAATATGGCAGCAAAGATGAGGACAATAGTCCAAATAATGTAAATAGTGTTAAATATATACGTATATGGACTGAATGATGTTTCTTGAGAATAGTATTTAACAAAGAAGAGCTAATGAACTGGGAAACTGTCCATCTAAGCATGACCAAGCTGTCTTTACATGGTACTAGGATAAGGATAAGATTAATGGAATCCTATCAATTCATGTGGAGACTTCTTTTGGGCAGGCACGGAAAAATTTGAAGAAAATGTGATAAAGATCAAGCAAGTGTTTATGGTCAGATCCAAAGAAACTTCAAGTTTCAAATATCTTGGTCTTGAGATTTGTCAGCAAAAGGAGTCTATGATAATAATTAATCAAAATGTGTTTGTCAAATCAATCCCTATCTTACCTACAAAGACCAAAATTAATACAAACTCAGTTTCGTCATGCTCAATAGGGAAGCTAAATTGTCTAGTTACACAGACACAGCCTGATTTAAGTTACAAGATAAGTGATGTGACATCATCTTTAAAAGTTAGAAAGGTATATATCGCTGGTAAATAAATCAGCTAAAAAAGCTAAGAAAATCCCCTTCAGACTATTAATACCCAACTTAGACAATCTTGCAAGAATAAAACTGGTAGCATATAGTGATGTAGGATTTGCTGGACTTAACAATGGAGGATCTCAAGTAGGAAATGTTGTCTTTATTGTGGGTGACAATGAGAGTTATGTTCTTCTTGACAATTTCAGAGTCAAGGGTGTTGTGAAAAGCATGCAGGCAGCAGAGACACTTGATATGGTTGATAATATGGAAGCCTGCACTTTTTATAGAAAATATCTTCTAGAACTTTTATGTATTGAAGACGAGCTGGAAAAATCTTCCAATAATATGTAAAACTGACAATGCAGGCCTATATGAGCCTCTGCTCTTTCATTTATTTAAATATTGGATAAAAGGCTAAGAATAAATACATAAATTTAAATGAATTTCCAGCTCAAGCGAAGTTGCAGATTCCTTAAGAGAGGTGTCTCCTCTAACAAGATTCTAGATAATGTGAGTCTAGAATCTCTCTTTGTTAAAAATTAGAAAAAATTGTACATTAAAATGTATGATAAATAAGCTACCACAAAAGTGAAAAGGGATTGAACTCACCATTCTTGGCTAACAAATCAAACTCCTACTCCTCAGTTTAATAGTGGCAGTAACTTATTTCCCTTTCAGAGGCAGTATTTAAACTTTTGGAAATTTCTCCTCAGGGAATATTTTTCTGTTGTTTGGTGAAGTGCTCTCCCTGTGTTTGTTGAGCAAGATTCTGTTTTAACAATGGGTTTATAAAAAAAAAGATCCATTATTATTATTATTATGCCTATAATCAGTTAATGCCTACAACCTCGTAAAATAGCTTTTTATTTTTAAAGAAGAGAGATTCTTGGCTTAAATACATGATCCAGAATCTTGTTAGAAGAGACATCTCTTAGGCAATCTTGGCTTCAACAAGTATTGAACAAAGAAAATCGTTATAAAATGGATGCCTCCTCATGGATGCAATGGCCAACAAGCTGAACTTCAGTTAAAAACTGATATACATATTTTTTTTTTTACAGTGAAGTTTTTACCAGTACAAGGTCCCAGAGCCACTCAAGATAGAGGGTTACAGACTAAGAAACACAATTTATGCAAATATGTGGGGAAGTTAACAGTTAACCCTAAACTTGAACAGTTTAAGTTTGTTGTGATTGGGATTGGTTGGCTGATTTTGTTTAGCGGCATATCAACTCTTCTATGAGTTATTTAATACTGAAATCTAAATATTTTGAACACAATTTTATGCATTCAACTGAATATAAAATGTATTGCTGTTAATTTTCCTTCAAAAATCTATTGTTGGCAATTTTTTTAATATAAAAATGTGTTGCTGGTATTTTTACTATAAATATGTATACTTTCATAGTTTTGTTTAGGGGATTTACTATTTGCCCATAGTAATTAAAAGGTGGTTCCACACTTCTTAAAACCATCAATCTCCCAATCAGAGGCCTTGTTGCCGGGAGGGTGGCAGTGAGAACAACAGCAATTAAAAGTTGGACCCATGCTCCTTAAAATCTCCAATGTTCTGAGCAGAGGTCTTACTGCCAGATGTAGTTAATTGTCATACCTAGCACTGTAGTGATTAGGAAAACATTCTCTTGGGAGTCAGTTCCACAGAGCGACAGTTCACAGGAAGAAGTTGCTGGAGTGGAACTTCTCACTAATGGAATATGAAGTGACTGGGAGTGGTTCACTACAATGTATGTAGAAATTAAATAAATACAATATGGTAGCTGCTAATAGATAATAAAGAAAGACAAACAGAAACTCTTCAGCAGCAGCAGTCAAAACATGACAGCTAGCAGCAGCAGTTGCAGCCTAATCAGCAGCCAGGTTAGTTTTAAGGTTCTTAAGTAAATTGTCCTACAGTTTGTGAGTTCAATCAATGGGTTGAGCAGTGTGTACTTGAACTTAGTGCAAACAGTGAGCAATAACTGAACAGTTCTAAATAAAATAAAAACTAGATGATATCCCTAGACATGAGCAGTGAAATGAAAACAGTCTAACCCCATTGATTAAATAAAGGGTTCAGTTCAGATTTCCCTGTAGGTTACCCAGATTGATATTGTTATAGAGTAGTTTCACAGTGGAGGCTTGTATTTGTACTAAGTCAGTCCTAAAAAGGTTTGACGTACAAAACGTTAGGAACTTGATATAATAGGTAATGACGCAGAGAAATCTAGTTGTGGTCGCTGATACTGTTAGTGTCCGACATTGACTGACTGAGCGACTGCTACTACTAATACTTATTAGGTGGGAGAGTCTATTAACTATAGACTAGGTGTGTTCCAGTACAACAGATATACACCTGAGAAAGGCTGGAGGGCACAAAGGGAAAATGTGATAACGACGACAAAGCTGTTATACCAGAACATTACCTATTCTATTGTAATAGACTCTCCCACACATAATAAGTAGTAGTAGTAGTAGCGGTTGCAAGTTGAGCTCAGTGGAGTTGAGTGAGTCAGTCGATGTCGGACATTGAAGTATCAACCATCACAACTAGATTGCTGTGTCATTAACTCTTATTTCAAGTTCCTAACGTTTTGTACGTGGGCCCTTTTAGGACCGACTTAGCGAAATACAAGCCTCCACTGTGAAAACTACTCCACAACAAAAGCGAAGGACAATAATCTGAATATAAATAAATAGCATAAATAAATAAAATTAAGTTCAAATGCAGAGCAAGATTGTGATTTTACAAGTACAATAATGTAGTTATTTAATTTTTTTTGATGGCATTGATAAACAAGCAAAAAAAAAAAAAAAACCAACAAAAAACAAAAAAACAAAAACAAAAGTACTTACCCATAACTTTGATGGTAGCATTTCTGCTCGTATTACCTGCTGACGATGTAACGACGCAGGTGTAGAGACCAACATCCATGCCAGAAATACTCTTAATTTGAAGGGTACCATCATTGATACTGTGTCTTTCGTCTGTTCTGATGAGGACTGGGGTATTTACAGGGGGTTTACGATGATACCACTCCCAGGCAACTTGCACTGAGGGATCACGGCTCACTGTACATTTTAGGATTACAGTGCTCCCAAGAATAACGGATTGGTTCTGTGGGGGTTGGCTTATCTGGGTTTTCACTGAAAAATATCAAAAGGAAAAATATAAAAGATGCTTCAGATATTAATTCCCTAAATTTACATTTAAAATGCATCAAGTTCTGTAGGGGGGGATGTCAGCAGTTTGTCTATTTTTTGTACTGTGTAAAGCAAGGAACAGGAAATGCATAAATTTCATTTTTGTCAGACTTAGTCACTAACTTAATACCTCATCTTATACCAGAAATTTTTCCACGGTAGTCAGCATAGCACATTTGGATTATCATCTGACTGTACTTGAGATCATTTATAATAAGCCTAACCAGCCTTTCCTCTGTAAGTAGAAGAAATGGCTGCTGGGTCAAAATGCAATGATTTATACTGTTGATTCTCTGGTAGTAATTTAATTATTCTCTCCTTTTTTAGTCACTGTTGCTAAAAGAAATGAACAATAAATAATGTCAGAAATTAAACCATTTTAATCGCAGAATTTAAAGTAACGCCGTTGAAATTGTAGTAATTATTTTAAGAAACATGATACAGATATTACAGTAACGCCGTTGAAAATGCTGATGTCAGACACCTTCGAATGCTCGTTGTAGTAGAGATTTTGTAATTGTAGATACAATTATAGTAAGGCTGTTGAACAGTACTGGTGTCAGACGCCTTCAAATAACTCTCGCACTAATAGTACTTGCTTGATAATACTCGCTTGAATAGTAACGACTGAATAGTGATCCGAATAGTAATCAGTATAGTGATCTGTATAGAGAAATAGTGTAGTGAATAGTATACAGAATAGCAGTCCGTATAGCAATAGAGGATACTGTAGAAATAGTGATCAATTAGATGACACGCTAATTCTCATATATATGTTTCCTTTACCATCATGTGATGTACTTATTCAAAATGGGATCGCCTTTGTTTACTCTCTGGTGATCTGTGTTCAATCTCCAATGTCGGCAGTGACACTTTATTCCTATATAACAGATTAGTTCTAAAGAGTAGTGACTGATATTTGCTCATTTTCAAGGATTCATTACAGTGGCTGCAAGGTAATCCCTCTTGGCTTTGGTCAGTTGGGGGAGGGTGGCGGCCTGATGTTTTTAAGTGACTTGAAACCCTCAATGTCAACATCACTGAAGAAGATCATCACAAGTGTTTCGATTATAATTCCTCTCCTTTGTTTTATATATTTATATATACTTTTAAAATGTCCATTTTTAAGATCCTAATACTCTGAAGAATGAGGAGCGATAACCGGTTATTCACACCTTTTTATGTTTCTTTTTTTGTGTTATATTTTTTGTTCCCCCTCTGCTTAATTCTTTTTTCTTCTCTTTACTTTTCTTTCATTCTTTCTTTTATGCATTTTCATATATATTACTATACTTTTAAAATGTCCATCTTTAAAGCTTTATTAAAATTTTCTAACACCCCTAGAGTATTTATTGGTTTCAGTCAAAACTACTCACTGAGTACATGGAGGTGCATCCACGAAGATACCCGACCAAAGTTGTTAGTCGCTGTGTAGTTGTACAAACCAGAATCTTCAGGAACAGTACTTGTAATCAGTAAGACTGTTGACTGAAGCAATTGGATTCGTCCAGAACTATTTAAGGCCCGCCATCCATTACCAACATCTGAAAAAAAAAAAAAAAAAAAAAAAAAAAAAAAAAATAAATAAACAAACATATTTTTTGCCTGAGTGTCACAAACTTCTTTTCTATTTTTAATAGAACATTGGCCAAATTGATTAAATTAAATTAATTACATATAAAAATTCAGATATAAATAAAACTATATCTGAATTTTTATTTCAGGAGACAAAGTTCTAATTCATTTTAAGTTTTTAAGCTTTTCAAAATTAGTACAAATGATGACGTCCACGAAATTAGTACAAATGACGACGTCCACGAAATTAGTACAAATGACGACGTCCACGAAATTAGTACAAATGACGACGTCCACGAAATTAGTAATAAATGATTTGACGTACAAATGACGACGTCCACGAAATTAGTACAAATGACGACGTCCACGAAATTAGTACAAATGACGACGTCCACGAAATTAGTACAAATGACGACGTCCACGAAATTAGTACAAATGACGACGTCCACGAAATTAGTACAAATGACGACGTCCACGAAATTAGTACAAATAGTGTGGTTGTATAATTTGTATTTTTTGTTTATATTTTTAAAGTGAAGTTCTTTATTAACTAAAATATGGCTACTCACTTCTTGACCAGATGATGACAGGTTTAGGGGCTCCTTTTACCTGACTCACCAATTTTACATCCTCTCCCTCCAGGACCGTCATGTTGCTGAGACCAGAACCAACAGTTTTTGGTGGGTGTCCTGAAAAAAAAAAAAAAAAAAAAAATCTGTTAAAACCTTTTAAAATTTTTTAAAGATTTATGATGTAACAAAAGGATAAGTTTGTTCGCTCTTTTTCAACAGATACAAGTAAATGAGATTATAATTTTTTGCCAACTTCTTAATGCTGCTAAAAATCACCAGTTTTCGAATTATGGCTTGAACTTCTAAAAGGTGCCTACAGCTATTTTGAAGACCAACGTCAGAGATTTTGATTGTAGCTGGGTAAAGGGTGGTCTAACGGTCACTGATATGAAAAATAAAATGGTCAGAGTTGTTTTTTATTACATTTTCCTCACAACTATGGATAAAGACTCGACTCTTTAGCCTTGGTTGGCAACATGTCTAAGAAACAGAAGACTCTAAACCAAGTTTGACACATTTAAGCTAGATCAGTGGTAAATTCTACAACCATATTGGCAAAACCCTGCAGCCAAAGACAGCTACTCTCTTTTTGGCAGCCCCAGCAGCCAATGATGGCTACTTACCATTCCACAGAACACCTACAACCAAAGAAAGCTACCCATAGTTTCAGGGTAGCCCTGCAGGCAAAGAAGGCTACCCATCTTTTCAAGTGACCCTGGCAGCCAGAGGAGGAGGCTAGCCACCCTTTTAGAGAAATCCTGAAGCCGGAGGAAGCTACCCACCTTTTCAGGGGACCCCTGCAGGCAGGGGAGGCTACCCACCTTTTCAGGGGACCCCTGCAGGCAGGGGAGGCTACCCACCTTTTCAGGGAACCCCTGTAGCCAAGGAAGTCTACCTACCAAATTGAAGAAACCCTTAAATAAAGAACAAAAAAAAAACAAAAAACAATCTGATGCTTGCTTTGATGGCTAACCCAATATCTCTTGGACCATAGCTCTATAAGGACCTATATAAGCCAACATAAGTTACTGACTTCAGTATGCAACATCCTGATAAAAAAATAAATATGTGCTTCCAACTGGGAAAAAAAGATCTAAAACAATGTACTAGCCATATTCAGGAATTAAAAATATGTCTACTTTCCAGAAACTTACACCAATCCTTAAAAAGCGCCAATAGATGAACTGAATGTACTCAGAATGAATAATCGATTGATTGATTGATTGATTGATTGCCTAATTTTACCGGCACATCAACCACACTATGGATCATTTATGCTGAGACGGTATTAGTATCTGTGTTATTTTGTTTAGGTATTTTTGTCTATATATTTGTGTATTCTGGTAGGTCACATTTTTATGATTCCTGGTGGGTTATTGTTTTGGATTGGTATATGTTTAAATTCTGGTGTAGGGTCTTTTAAGAAATTCAGTTTATCATCTGGTTTAGTATTTCTGAATAAGACTTAAGTTAGTAGCTCAATAGTATTTCATTTGGATTGGATTGACATTGGTACAATTTATAAGTCTATGTTTTATTGTGTATAGTTCCTGACATGTAATGCACATTGAGGCTTCTTCATTTTAAAGCAGATATCAGTTGAGTTCTAATGTCTGAGTCTCTGAATCACAATCCAGTCTTCTCACAGACATTGTCAGGCCATTTTTTCTCAACTTGCCTCTTCTGTCGCCTTGTAAGGTGGCAGTGAAAGTTAAGCAACATTGTGCTTAGTCAATACCTAGTATTTCTGAATAAGACTTAAGTTATTTACTCAATAGTATTTTGTTTGGATTGACATTGGTACAGTTTATAAGTCTGTTTTACTGTGTATAGTTCCTGACATGTAATGCACATTGGCACTTCTTCGTTTTAAAGCAGATATCAGTTGAGTTCTAATGTCCGAGTCTCTGAATCAGTATCCAGTCTTCTCACAGACATTGTCAGGCCATTTTTTCTCTGCTTGCCTCTTCTGTTGTTCAGACGTAGTTTATCGTCATCCCCAGGATGGGTGTTAAAGTATTTTGTCTATATATCTCTGTATTCTGGTAGGTCACATTTTTACGGCTCCTGGTGGGTTATTATTTTAGGTTGGTATATATTTAAATTCTGGTGTAGGGTCTAATGTCTCTTAAGAAATACACTTTATAAGTATATGTTTCACTGTCTATGGTTCCTGAAATGTAATGCACATGGGGGGGGGGGTCCTGACATGTAGTGCACATTGGTGGGGTCTTCATTTTTAAGCAGGTATCAGTGGGTGATATAAGTATGTCTGGAATAATCAATTGAACAATTTCTAGTAATGCCAAAATCTGGAACTGGAACTGGGTTTACCGATTTCCAATTTTAAGCCATAATCCACTACACCACCCGCACATCCAAGCTTATAGCATCTAGTATTCCAAGGCAGTCACCCATCTAGGTACTGACTAGGCTTGACATTGTTTCAATGTGACATGGCTGTAAGCCTGAATCAAATTTGAGTACAGTTGCTTGTAGAATAAACAGTGTGCATGAGAAATGACAACAATTAGAAAAAAAACAAGGTACTTGGAAACATAAGAAAAGGTGGCTTGGAGAACTTAACACTCATAAGTCACAACAAAGGTAAACATAGCAGAAGAAATGACAAGTTTGAGCAAATGAATAGGAGAACAAGTACTATAAAGAGTGGACATAAGCAATTATTACTGTGAGCAACAAAAAGGAAGCTGTGGAGAAACACAATCGCTTGGAAAAGACAGAAAAGATGTTTTGGTATCTTCCATCCAGAAGTTGCCATCTGTTATGGAGTGATTTCACAGTGGAGGCCTGTATTTGTACTAAGTCAGTCCTAAAATAGGTTCGATGTACAAAACGTTATGAACTTCATATAATAGGTAATGACACAGAGAAATCTAGTTGCAGTCGCTGATACGTTAGTATTCGACTAACGGTCGTCTGGCATCGACTGACTGACTGACCCACTGAGTGACCGACTCGTTACTCTTACTACTACTTATAGGTGGGAGAGTCTATTAACAATAGAATAGGTGTGTTCCACTATAACACCATCCCAATCATCCTGTGTAAACATCTGATCCAGGAAATACAGTCAAAGTATCTTGACAGGCCTCTATGTTCAGCATTTCTAAACTGCCCTTGATTAGATGGAGGTAACAGGGTTTGTGATGGATCATGGGAGTTTTACTGCCCGAGCAGAGAAGAAACGGAGCTCTTTATATAGAGTGGGGTACAGGAGTGGCAGAGCTGAAAGACTGTAAAGGATGAGGGGGTGATAGATGGACATAACGCACACTTGAAATTTTATATAGATTATCACTACACTAGAAAATTTTTGAAAATTTGATAGTTTTCCTATTTTAATTTTTTGATGAATCTTAATTCTTCAGTCAGCGATTGAATAATGCTTAGTTAAACATGTTCTATGACAATAAAAAAATCTCTAGAAATTCTCCGATTGCATTGTTAAATATTTGTGCTTAGCTAACAAAAAATGCTGGTCATTATTTTAAGAAATAAAGGGGGTACAAATGAAAAGATTTGAAATTAGCATGCCACCTCTCAGAGCAGATTTCTAGTGGATATAATCAATCTACTAGCAGGGAATTTTAATTCTTAAGTTGATTGAATAATTTCATGGTGAGTTCTATGACAATAAAATAACCTTAGAAATTCCCCTATCGCATTGTTTAACAAAATATTGCAATAATAATTATAAATATGAATGCTGGTTGTTATTTTAAGAAGTAAGGGGGTACAAATGAAAAGATTTGAATTTGACAACTTTTTCCATTTCACTGAAATAGCCATGAAACACTTTTATCATCCCTTATTTCATTCATTCATTCCTTACTGGCAGGTTGCCGATGGCAATGCCAGTGGTCCTCTGGTGGCAGCCACCAGTGGACCACTGACGAGCTTTTAGCGGTCTGCAAGTGGTAACATTGCCTGACAGTGGGACACCAGAAGTAAACGCTAGTGACATACCACCCAGTCGCAGATTGGTGACTTGTGTGTAGGGTCATTTTCTCACTGAATATCGCTTGTTTTTCTATGTAATCAAAAAGGAATAGTCTGTTACTTATATGTCATTGGCAGGAGATGTTAAACATTTCTTTTATTCTAGTTAAATTCCAGTCTTACAAACATTTCCATTAGTAATTTTAAAAATTCAGCAGACGATGTTATTTTTTTTTATGGTAACTGGATTTTTGGCAATTGTTTTACTTGGTTTTCATCATTTGATACTGTGTGTCTGAAAAATGGCACTTTAATTAGTCATTATTGCCTTTTAGTTGAGATCAAAGTGTAGTAACAGTTCTTATCAGCTTAATCTGATTCTCTCCCTCTCTCCACTTCTAGCTTTCCTTCTTTCTTTCATTTTCCCACTGAAACCAAGTAGTGTCTTTTCCTCTCTTTCCCCGTGATCAAGGCAGAATAATTTATAAAGGTATTGGCAGGGCGTAATGGTCGTGCGAACTAACGAAAGAAGGGAGAAGTACATTTATAATAGGATGCTCAGTCATGTATGGTTTCTGACATGGTATACACAATGGTGAGTCTTCGTTTTTGAGTAGGTGTGGATGGGTGACGTATGTGTCCTATACAGAGTCTGGTTAAGAACAAAGAAAAAAAGTAAGTAACCAACTTTTAAGTTTATCATTATTTCTTAATACTCATAACTTTTACAAAAACACCCATTGTTTTGGCCATTCTACGAAGGAAAACGAACCATCTAGGAAATGTGAAGCCTGCATGTTTGTAATTAAGGGGAACACCAAATATCAAAGTGTTTTACAAGGCACAAGTGCTGAAAGGAGCAATACAGAAATTTGTCAGCTGGGGATTTAATTCAAGGTTTAGGGCAAGAGAAGGTGCCTTTGCTCGAACCTGTACTGGCCAAAACTGCTGCCGCCGCTGCTGCTGCAACCGAATGGAACTGAGAAAAACTTTTGAAATGCTTAGGAATAAAATGCCTTAAGGCAGATTCTGAAAGAGAAACCAAAAAAATGTAACATCTTGGAAGCATTGTAGAATGAAATGCAGTTTCTATAGTAAAACAGAATAAACAGGATCACCTAGTGTAATTTCTGTACTAAAAAAAAAAAAAGAAAGAATTGACTAATACAATTTCTATAGTAAAAAAAAAAAAAAAAAAATGAATTGACCAGTGCAATTTCTATAGTAAAAAAAAGGATTTGACCAGTGAAAAAAAAACCCCAAAAACATTAGAAATAAGATGAAATGACTTACTATTCACAATCAACTGGTATACAACAGACATTTCTCCTGCAATATTTCGAGCAAAGCATTGATATGTTCCTGCATCTGAAGTGTCAACTGATTTAACTAACAGGCTGCCATTGGAAAAAATCGTGTACCTGCAAAAAAAGATAAATAAATAAATAAAAAAAAAAATAAAATTCATTCTTTCATTTACTGAGGTTTTGAACTGAAAGACTGA